ATCGAAAAGACATTTGAAATTATGATGCTACCTGTCGCCGTATTGAAATAGGAAGACTAATCTAGCCTTCTGAAAATTTTCTCTCAATGTTCTTTAAATGCTATGATCATAGATGCCAGTTAAGTGTTGTTCAGGACAGTAATGTGTTGTTCAGTTAAGTCTGGATACTATTTTTGTCATCTTTTGGCAATCAATGTTAACAGTGAGGGAAACAGCTGTTTTTGCTTTTTTTGGAAGCACATTTGAAACCTTTATGGCAGAGATATGTGGTTTGAGGAGCATTCTTCTCCTTTAAAAGAGATAAATTGTACATTTATTAATTAAAATTATTTATTCATTAAGGTATCTTAGCATCTATTTATACTGCACAGTGTTTTTGGTGACTATCATGATCATTAATATATTTTTCAGGTTTTGGAAGGTGATCAAAAGCTTGATCCACAGGAAGAAGTTAAAATGAACAAAGGTACATTGAACTCCAAGAAGTGAATTAAACACAACTTCATGATGTATGATGCAACTCTCCTCAGAAGGCATTCTGTATATTGAAGGAATATGTGGAAAAAAGCCTTTAGTGTCATTTATGGTAAAAAAAGGTAGATTAAGTCTGTACTGGAGCCAAGTCGCCCACCTTAAATAAGTGGGAGATTATCCTGGTTTCCTTAGCATGAAGCAACTAGGAGTATCACTACTCCCCCCTGGATGGGATGCTAGTCCAGTGCAAAGTTATCCCCCAGCATTTCATCACACTTCCTTGTTAATCAGTGCTCAGTCATTCTCCCCTCAGTTCTGATAGAAAGCTATATTCTCCATTAAAATTAATACCTCGGTGTTTCTCAAATTGAACACAGAGACAAATGGTTATGGCATTTTATTACACGACTCGGGCAGTCAGAGGGCTAATAACTAAAATCAGCCAATCAAAATGCTCTATTGCCGGTCAATATTCTGTCAGTATTGGACCGGGCACTGTCCTGAATGGTCCCGAATGATACTGCACTTGTGTCCCTCTGAACTTCAGTTGTATAATAAATCTCTTATTAACCAAGCTTGCTTGGGACCGTACTGGAAGAATATCGGCCCTCTGTCTTTTTTGTACGGACCTCGCTGCGCTCGGTCGGTACTGTCAAGACCTCGGGCCAATATTCTCCCAGTATGGCCCT